TTGTTGTAGCTCCCTAGGGCTGTCAAACATCCCAGACAGATGGCATAGGAGAAAAATATCTGTGTTCCAGCATCCACCCACACCTGCAAGTACAAAACACAGCTATAATAAAGAAAATGAAACAACATCATTGTTTATCTTTTAGAAATCTATAAAGATATTAGTTTAAATTGATTTTAGAGACCAACTTTTCAGGTTCTCCAGTTTTTCCTAATCTGGTAAGCTACATGAAGTTGCAAAAATTACATTTGTCAAAGCAAGAGGAAAAAAAAGATTCTTAACTTTCTTTTATGAGTATATTCATCTTCTTCCTGTCATCACCATACACATCCAGCAGCAGTACCATCTCTCTCCCCCCCCCCCTTTCTTCTAATAAATTCTGCTGTAAACTCTGGGAATTCTGTAATATCAGTTTGTGTTTGTCAACAGCTATTCATAGCACATTCAGAAGAAATTATATTCAATCAGGAGCAAAAGATCTCTCCATGTTCAAAACAGCTTTTCCTGACAGAATAAGATTCTTGTGCAGTTTAAAGATGGCTGAAATCCAGAAGTGTGCTTCTTGTTTGCACAGTGAATGGCACAGTCTCTTTCACAAAGTCTTCAACCTCTCAAGTAGAGTTGCTATACTGAACATTCTAGGCATACCATGCAGATTCTAGGGATGTCACTCAGTGTCTGTTTGGACCCATATTTGGCCAGACTGCAAGCTTTCATTAAAAACAACAACAACAACAACAACAACACTGTAAATCTCTAGCCCAGCAGTATGGTGTGGTTGTGAGATGTGTAAGGAAGTGAGTAGGAGAGATGAGAAAGTGAGCAGCCATGTGCAAGAAGCAAGGGAGAAGTGTACTTTAAGGGTGTGATGTGAGACAAGGGAAGGAGTAGGAGAAATGGGAGAATAAGCAGTGCAAGCAGCAGAGCATAAGAAACAAAGGGTTGGTAGATTGCTAGGGCATAAGGTGAGGCAAGAGAGACTAGGAGGGCATGGAGAGTCAGGCAAGGGAGGGAAAGAAAAGGGGAGAGGTCCCGTGAAAAGGGTGGCATGATCAAGACCGCAGTGCAAGAGAGGGAAATGTGGTGTCACAAAATGAGAGAAGGAGGGTAGGGGGATATGAGATGCAGCATAAGAGTGCAAAGAACAAGAGAGTGGAGCACAGCACAGGCATGAGGTGATAGGAAGGAAAAGGGGTGGGGCAAGTTAACCCATCAGAAAAGGAGGCAAGACAGGATCTGCTGAGCTGTTCAGCAGAGGAGGGAAGCAGTGCAATTCATTGTTCCCATGTTCTCCATCCATCCCCAGGAAGCCACCTCATGAAGCTACTCTGAGGAAAGAAGTAGCAAGGAAATGGGAAAAGGAGAGGATAGGCAGAAGTTTGGATATTAGGCATGGCACTCTATGGTTTCACAATAACTTATGACATTATGCACCATAGTCTTGGCTTTCAAGAACCAGTCTCAGGCCATAGATGTAATGGGGCAGTTCTGAACTGAATTTTTAATGTAATTAGTCATGAATGAAGTCTACAAGCTGTTTCTGTCATGGCACTTTGTATCAGTTTAGATGAAGCAGACAGCTCTCTCTTTCTGTATATATGTCCCCTCAAGTCGCTTATTAACTTATGGCAACCACATGAATTTCACATGGTTTTCTTAGGCAAGGAATACTTAGCAGTGTTTTTTGTCAGCTCCTTCCTCTGAAATATAGCCTACAGTACCTGACATTCTTTGGTATTCTCCCATCCAAATGCTAACCAGGGTTTAATTTCTTTATGTTATTTAGGCCCTGGAAGTAGACAGCTAACATATGAATTGTTTCTAGTTAATTTTTGAGTTTTTTGTATGTTAATATGATGGTTTGTTCTTCTTGTTTAGAGTGTAGGCCTAGGACACTTTTCACTATTAACTGAAAATAACATGCCTTTCTGTTCCTCTCATTCCTTCTAAAAGCAAATGGAGTTACAGCTGTATTCCCTGGAAGAGAAGGGGCTGCCAGCCATCAGATTCTGCCTTTGGAAAGAGCAAAGCACTTTGCTGTTCCCCTCACTTGTTCCAAAGGGGAAAGGAGGTGGGGGAGCCTGCCAGCCATTGGATTCTGCCTTTGGAATGAAAGAGCACAAGCACCAGAGAAGGGTCTCAGAGCCACTTCTGCTCATTCATTCCAAAGGTAGAACCAGGTGGCTCACATTTAACATTAAGAGTTAAGGTATGGGAAGCGGTGCTGGAGATATTTGCAGTTTTTCCAGTTTTGCAGGGGTTCTGCTCCTCTAATCCCTGCAAATGTGGATGGCTGATTGTATTTGTATTTGATAGAACTTCAATGGCTTAATCTACGAAAGGTCATGCTGCCAACTTCTTTCTTTCAGTTAGTCTCAAAGGTGCTACAAGATCTCTCTACATTCAATGGCTTCACTAATTGAAATAGTCATGTGGCTTCCTTGTAGAAGTTCACTGTTACTAAAAACTCTTTTCAATGGACAACAAAGAAGACTTGAGGAAAAACACAATTTGTACACTGGTATCTTTTGCTCATTGTACTAGTGAATTTAACAATAACCTTCCTGAATTGTTTAAGAGGATAGAAATAGCAGAAGGCATTAAGATTCTATGAATTAATCAAAGGTCAAATTTTAGAAGAAGCTGTTGTACTTGCAATTGCCTTGGTACCAGTACTTCTAAGTTAACCACATAGTAATGAATTACTGAATTTGTTGTAGGTTAGCAGGGCACATGAAGAAAAAAAATTATAAAATCAATTCACTACATTAATTTTCTAATATAAATAATTAATTTTAAACCATTAAATGAAAACCCCATTTAAGATTATTTAAAGTGGTCTCAAACTCTCAATAGTTTCAAATTGCCCCCTAAAGTAACAAATTAAAATGAAGTGAAATGTTAACTGTTAATTGAAAAATTCATGGTTTAGGTATCTTATAAAACAACGTATTTTTAATATGTTGTTGAAAATTTTAATGAATTTGGGTCAAGCTCTCACTACATTACACTACATTAATAGCTTTCTTTTCATGTAAAGGATAGAAGACAGTGCACATAATCCTTTCTCTCTTTTATTTTATACATAACCCAATTCATGGGTTAGGTGGGAGTATGAGAGACAGAGAATGCCACAAGGGCCATGTCTGCATGGACTTCCCCCTTTCCTCTTGGCAGGAAGACTGGATGATGCAGGAACCAATTCCCAAGTCTGGCGCAAACAGACTGGATGATATATGGGCCGTTCAGTACCCAACTCAGGGTATGCTCCTTTTATCATGGATTTTAAAAAGTCCTCAGTTGCTCTGGAGCTTCCTGGAAGATCTGGAACACTGCATTCTGATACCAGTTCACATGGATGTTCCCTGATTGTCCTGACTTCTAGTATTATGGGGACAAGGAGAGAGAAAATATTCTCCATGGCATGTGTAACTTTATAAACTTCTATCATCTCCCCTATTACTTTTTTTCTAAATGAAAAAGACCCTAACACTTCAGCTTTTCACTATAGTGTAGGTCAGGGGTAGGCAACCTTTCCCCTTTAAGGGCCGAGGGACTTCAGCTCCCAGAATCCCAGGAGCTATTGGCCAACATGGGACTATTGGCCAACATGGCTGAGGCTTCTGGGAGCTGAAGTCCCTCGGCCCTTAGAGGGCAAAGGCTGCCTACCCCTGGTGTAGGTAGTCATCTTCTGAACTGTTTAGAGTATCTTTGCTATTATTTTTAAGATGAAATAAACAGCATTGTACATACTATTCCAACTATATAACACTGTGACATTGCTTCATAAATATTCATTTTCAATAACTTGCCCCAACCACCTCAGGACAGTGTCTGAATAAGTAACTATTCAGTAAAATATATCTAAAAACATATAATCTATATTACTGACAATCTGTTAATTGAAGCTATAGAAGCTATGGCTATAATTGAAAAACAAAACAAAGCAAAACTGTGAAGCTGCTTCTGTGCGCCAAACAACTTATTGTGTCAGTCAAAAATTTCCATACTTGATGGCAAAATGTTTTTGGAAATTTGAGGATTGTCAACATCATTATGTGATATGTATAGATGTAAGCTGTTCAAAGTTAAATTTAACACAAAGAAACAAACAAAATCCCAATTAGCTAATTGCAATCCTCTTGGCTAGAGGAACCATTATGATTACTAATATATTCCTCAAATGCATCAATTTCTTTGGCTTGGTAGTAAAGTATCTGTGAAAACTTCATAACACAATGCTTAGTGTAAGACTATTCTCAGATGGAAGTGTGTGTTTAGAAGCACCATTAAGTCCACACTGAATTTGCAACAGAAGGTTAAATCATTTTTACTGTAAAGATGAATAAAATATAGATGATTGTATCTCAAAAATATATATATTCATCACTGAGAGAAGTTTATAGGTAAATCATTTTGACAGAATATGAGCTTTTAGAAAGCCAAATACCCTCTGGGGAAACCTAAAACACATACAACTAAAACTAATGTGGATTCATGTAAATTCAACAAGATATTGCTCAAGATACAGAGAATAACAAAACATCTACTCCATGCCATGGGATCTTTGGAAGTTGGGGTGGTGGTGGTGGTGCAGAAGTGGAGCCAGGAGGGATCATAAGCTTCATACCTTCTTTTGAATGGCAACACTCTACATATGGATAAATCTCATTTGTTGTTGCTGTGTGCCTTCAACCCATTTCTGACTTATGGTGACCCTAAGGCAGGGGTAGGCAACCTTTCCCCTTTAAGGACTGAGAGACTTTAGCTCCCAGAAGCCTCAGCCATGTTGGCCAATAGTCCCATGTTGGCCAATGGCTCCTGGGATTCTGGGAGCTGAAGTCCCTCGGCCCTTAAAGGGGAAAGATTGCCTACCCCTGCCCTAAGGCAAATATATCATAGAATTTTCTTGACAAGATTTGTTTGGAGTGTGTGTGGCCTTTACCCTTTTCTGAGGATGAGAGAGTGTGATTTACCCAAGGTTATCCAGTGGGTTTCCACAGCCAATTGAAGATTTGAACTTTGGTATCCCGAATCACAGTCCAGCATTCAAACCACTACACCACACTGCCCATTCAATAAATCTCACAGGGTCATGTTTAGTTAAGTGCCTTTGACTGTTAACTAATTCTGTATAAAATTCCATTAACAATCAAGTATAGTTACATTTCTAGAATTTGTTTAGCTCCCACACGTATTTCTGCAGCATGATCATGTCATAGTCAAAGGAAAGAGGGATAGTCACTGCCCAACACACAGCTGGCTTCAGTGATAGCAGCTCCCTTTTTGATTTGTTACCCTAAAGTAAGCACTTTCAGGAAGATTTCTGGAGCACTCTTAATCCAATAGGAAAGCCATATTTCACAATTCTAGCATAGCTTATATTTTTGGTTACAAAGAAAGAAAGAAAGAAAGAAAGAAAGAAAGAAAGAAAGAAAGAAAGAAGTCAGGGGTTTTTACCACTACTGCTGTCAGAGACAGATTCTTGTAATGGCCTTGCAGAACTTTAAAAAATAAATTAAATATAGCAATATAATGTTGAAAGTACTGAATTATTAATGCATTATGTTACTCACTGCTTGCAAAGAATGACCTACAAGAATGATCACATAGTTGCTTCTAAAAATATGCAATACATTACAATTTTTAGTTACATACCCAGCCTCTGTACCAAGCTTTCAGTGTCAGTTCAAAATTGTTTTGTTTGTCTGGACATTTTAATTGCCTGGATTGCTGTATATTATTGCATTTGCTGCTTTTATTGTGTTTTCATTATGATAGCATATTCTGATACCTTCTCATTTTAATTACATTTACACATTGCCCTGGCATTCATAAGGATTAAATTTTAAAATGTGCAAATAAAGAACTGAATAGTAATAAACCAATAAATTTGGAATAATGCAAAACATGGACATCAGTGTGGCACAAGTGACTTTACAACTGCTCTCAGACTGTAGCATTGTCTCCAAAGAAGTCTTAGCACCAATGCAAAAGAAGATCTGTTCTCTGCACCTTTAATTTTCAATGTGCACTATGGGGTGAAGCAGACAGCCATGAAGGAGTGGCCAAAGGCCACTCCAGCCCTAATTAGGCAGGGACTTGGCGACCACACAGTTTGCTCCTGAAGCAGGTTGCTTCCACAGTTCTAAGCCACACCGGCCAGAAGTCGATCTAAATCAACTCCTTTTTATACTGGCTTTTTCTGGCTTGGTGCAGTCTTGCCATGGCTTCTGGCCACTTTGGTGCCTCATCTAAATGGCATGCCCACAAAGCAGCTAGAAGCCACTCCTTTTCGCCCATCTGTTCGGGCCATTGATACAACTGTTCCTCTGAAACTATAGTTTCTAACCTATTTTGGTGTATTACAACACAAATACAAATGGGGATGTCCTTCCTCCAGTAAAACTGAGAGGGGATGACCTCACTGCAGTATTCATGCGCCTCATAAAACCCATTGTAGGTGGAAAATCCTAGAAGCTGGTTTTCAAGTAGCCCAGAGTTCTGCAGGGAAGAGTGAAGGGAAGAATGTTCTGCAGCACTAGTGCTATGTTGGATTTAGGTTGCTGTCCTGAACATTATTATCTGTCTGAAAAGTACAATTTGAGAATAATGAAGCAGGATGTTTAATTTCTGTTACTTTCAGAGAGAGAGAGCTGTGAATAGAGTCTGACAGCTGGAATCCTACTGGTTAATCATTATTAAAGTAGAGCCATTCAATCAATTGTGGAGCGGTAGGCCAACATACAGATAAATCCAACTGATTCAATGGCTCTGTTATAACTGGAACTAATAATAGGATTTAGGGAAAGCATTGTTACCTTGGCTTAAGCCCTTCATGGAATTTGAGACCATCAACTCCAGTTATATAATACAGAACAATACAGAGAGAACAATAAATACACAGAAACCAAGTCCAGTTTTCTAGCAACAATGAATGAGACATTTCTAAAGCTGCTCCCAAAATACCTGCCTTTAGAAACTTGAAATTGCTCAAGTTTTACCATTTTGATAATGGAGTGAGATTTTGACAAAACACTGGTAATAAACAAAATATTCCAGCTGTGGAAACTCATGATAAGGAATTGAATCTGACACATGCTCCACCATGTTGGAATAGATACCAGTGGTGGAATAGATCCTCCTTGCCCCAACATTCCTGTGTTCCTATTTCCTCATTTTTCCAGAAAGTTGAGGGACACACCAGAAGAGAAATGGAAGTGTACAGGAAGAGAGGAAGGGAACATACTGTGTGGAAAGAAGGGTCATCATGCAACATTGGATGACATCCATCCCTGTCTCTCCCATTATCTGAGTTTCCTCCTTCATTTTCTCATAGGGTTGCAGGCCTTAAAATAAAGCCTTTTTTTTTTTTTTTGGCATTCGGCTGACAATAAACAGATAAAATGTCCATGCTATTTCTCCCAGAAAAATGAAGTAGTAGAACTTTTAAAAACAATAATAATAATGGTAGAATCTGGAACAGATAAGTACTATCTCTGATGGTAGTAAAATAATAACTACAAGGACTTCTGGGTCATATTTGGTACCTAATATTAACCAACTCTGTTTCTATTTTATGATGTTTTATTGAACAATAATGATATCTTATAAGAAAGGAAAACACTGATTAATTGTGGTGAACACAGTATAAAAATCAACTTCTGGTTACAGTGGGAAGGCAAGAGGACGCGCAGAGACTTTGCTCCATGCTCCTTCCAAACCGTGGTGGGAACTTTGAGAGACGCTAGCTATTCCCACTGTTTTTCATCACCAGGGAGGTGAAATCAAAATGGCGGTCGTGACATGCACAGCGGCGGTGCGTGCAGGGGGTTGCACGTGGAGGGTCACGCGTGGCGGTGGGGGGTGTGCGTGCACGCATGCTCCACCATTCCCTCCCCCTCAGCCCAGCAGAGGGGAGGACTTCAGAGGACCGGCACCCAGCTCAAAAAGTTGCCTACCCCTGATTCATACAATATAGTGAAACTTTATCTGAATAGGTTATCTTGAGAAATCTGGAATGAAAGATTGTGATTGTTAAATTGCTAGATTGCTAATTGCTAGAATGTTAAATAGACAAATAGTAAAATTCTCTGAATTATGATTTTAAGAATGAGAAGAACCAATAATTAATCAACCAATAACTAATCAAATCTCAAGTATTAATTAAGCTACTTTTCAGGGTTCTAGCTGTAAACAAATCAGTCAATATTTCTGATAAGTTGAATTTTGTCTTAGATTTACAAATTGATTTAAATTAAATGTTTTATGCTCCATTTAAGACTAAGGGTGAAAAGAAAACCTAATTCTAAATTGTAAGAGTCAGACTACTGTATGCTATTGTATAGTTTCATTGTTCAACCTTTTGGATTCTCTACAATTATTAACTGAAGACAAAAGTTTAAACATAAAGTTAACCCATGAATTGGGAAACTAAAAGAATTACCAAAGTAAAAGAGATGGCAAATACGAGAGCGAGAACAGCACAAATGTCAGCTTCACAATCAACAGTAACACAAAGAAGAAATTTGCTGGAATTCGCCAACAGATCAGACATAAACACAATTATCCTTCAAGAATTATGATAATTCAAGAAGAATTTTAAGAAAGAAAGAATGGAAGAACTGAAAGAAACAAGGAAAGAGATAAAAGCTGATTTAGAAAGAGAAATAGAAAACCTTAGTAAAAAAAATAGACAATCTCTTAAAAGAAATGCATGAAATAAGAGATGAGTTAGAACAAGTAAAGAAACACAATCAGGAATTGGAAAAGAAATATTCAAATATTCAAAAAGAACAAGAAGTGGATGGAAAAAACTCTTGGCTCAAGAGATTAGATACAGAGAGAAATGTATAAAGGTAAGAGGCCTATCAGAAGTAACGAATGAAAATCTGCTAGATCGCCTAATTCCACCTTTAGCAAACTTTATTGGAATTGCGGAAGATTCACTAGATATGAAAACTGATAAGATATTCAGAGTTAATTCAAATTATGCTAAAGAAAAAAGAATACCAAGGGACAGAATAATAAAATTTTACAAATTTTAGACTCAGAGAAAGATTTATTCAACAGAGTTATGAGGAAAAATTAATTATTGATGATGCTGAGATAGAGATATTTAAAGATTTGCCACAGGAAAATATTTAAAAAAGACAGAACTATAATTTTTTGAGCACATTACTTAGGAAAAAGAACATTAACTTTAGCTGGGAAAGGATAGATGGGATCTCCCTAACGTTTAATCAAAAAAGATACAAATAAATTTAATTGAAAAAGCAAGAGAATTTAATAACAAAATTAACAAGAAATTTAAGGAACACAACAAAGAAGAATTACAGAGAAAAGAGCAAGAAGAACAATATCTGTGACTACCAAAAGACCAGGACCAAGACAAAAATCTCGATCAGGAACAGAGGAGACATAATGAAGAGGATGATAATGACCCTGAAGAAGGAGTAGAGGGGAAAAATAAAAACGAGGATTCATTGGATATAGATGACTTAGTTGACTTGATTAACATCAATGATAACAATCAAGATGAAGAAGGTGAACTGCTAACAGAAGAAGACGAACCAATAACCTTAAATTGAAGAGGATTGAAAAATTAATAAAGTAATATTAAAAATTATAATTAAAATTGGTTCATGGAACACAAAAGGCCTAAATACACATCATAAAAGGAAACAGATTTTTCACACACTAGAAAACTTTAACTTTGATATAGCAGTATTACAAGAAACAAGGATCAGAAATAGAAATGTTAAATATTTAAGGAATCTTAAATTGGGACAACTTTTTTATGCGTCAATAGAAAAAAAAGAAGAAAGGTGTGGCACTGTATGTGAATAACTCTATGATTGTATTAGTTGTGGCAATAGTTATGGCCCCCATGAAAAAAAGACTCTTCTTTCATTAAATTAAATAAAGATTTGATTGAATACAATAAAAATAATATTCTGTTAATTGGTGACTTTAATGGTGTAATAAATCCAAAGAGAGATAGAAAATCAGACAAACCTATTAAAAAAAAAGGAAGGTTACCCCAAAACTCCTTTGATTTATTAAAAGAACA